AAAACCTAATTTACTTTGATAACTTTTGTCTGTATTGGAAAATCGACTATCTCCCATGTGTTGTTTCTTTCGATTTCCTGTAACTCTTTGAACATAGCTAACTTCCATTATTTAGTCTTCAAAGCTTCACTATCGTTAATTGGTTTAGCACCTGCAAGTAAAGCAGAATGAACTAATTATCCATCTGGTGTGACTTCATCATCACCTGCCACTTCATAATCATGAACTCTTGTTGGAAGAACTCTATTAATTTAAGGTCTATGGCTTGTTCTAGCCGCATCCTCTTTGACTTCGACTGTGTCGGGAATGTCAGCAATCGCTTCGACTGGATTTTCAACAATTCCTTCGACATTGACTTCATCTTCTTCGTCAAAATCAGAGCTCGTCATTGGCTTATTAACTGCATCATCAAAATTTCAATCCAAGACTGAATTCACATCAATCACAATATCTAGACTCAGCACAATCTTCTCATTAACTGGATTGAGTAGCTTGTATGCACCAGTCTTATGATATCCTACAGAATTATAGGTTCACTCTTGTCATCAAGCTTCCTTCTTCTTGCATCAAAAACATGTTTATAACATATAGAGCCAAACACCTTTAAGTGACTCATTGATGGTCGTTTTCCACTCTATACTTCTTCAAGAACCTTGATCTTTAATATCTTGGTAGGGCACATGTTCAAAATATAAACTGCAGTCGAAACAGCTTCTCCTCATAAGGTTTTTGGAAAATTCTTTTGCTTCAACATGCATCTCGCCATATCCAATATGGTTCTGTTTCTTCTTTCACCAATTCCATTATGTTGAGGAGTATAAGGAGAAGTTACCTCATGATCAACACCATCTCCATTTTTCAAACATCTCCATTTGTTCGTAGAACTTTGATCCTCTTCTTACTCTGGTTTTCGACAAGTATCTTAAATCTCTTAAAGATTTCGAATATTCCGTCTTTTCTCTGGATCACATATATCCACAACTTGTAACTGAACTCATCGACAAACGAAAAAAAAATATGTTTCCACCAATGGTATGTTCTTCGAATGGTCCATATACATCTGAATGTACCACTTCGAGAATCCAGGATGATCTCATTGGCATAGTCGAAACAAAAGAATTTTTGGATTATTTTCCTACTAAAAAACCTTCACAAAGTTTGTCAGGCCTCTTAAGACTTGGAATACCAATAACTATATCTTGAGTAATCATTTGATTAAGTGATCAAAAATTCAAATGTCAAAACCTCAAATACCACAACCAAATAACCTTGTGGCCGACAACAGTTTTCAAACATTGAACTTCTCTTGAACTGATCATAGTCTTAAGTATCCTATTCTCCGACAACGGAGATTTTAAGACCAAATTGTTCTTGGTGTCAAACAATTTCAAAGCTTCATCTTTCATAACAACTGAAAAACCTTTTTCGACCAATTGTCCAACACTTAGCAGGTTGCACTTCATTCCAGGTACATAGAGCACATCTTTAATTATAGATTTCCCTCTATTACTCATTTGAAAGACTTTGTTTCCAGAACATTCTACTTGCAACAAACTTTTATCAGCAAGTTTTACATTGCTCTTCTTCGACTCAACGAAATATGCCAACCACTCCTTTTGACCAGTCATGTGATTCAAGCAGCCTGAGTCGAGGAACAAGATCTTGGATTCGACATGGTTATCTGCAATTACAGGCATAACCACCATACCACCTTTAGAATCATCTGAATCTTGGCGTGCAAGGTTCGCTCCTTCATCCTTGCCTTTTATCGATCTATTGTCTTTCATGTACCAACAATGTTTCGCCAACTAACCCCACTTTTCACAGTTATAACACTGCATACCTTTCTTAGTTTCCTCCTCCCCTTTTCGAGGATTCAGAAGATCTATCTTCGACCTTATTCTTGTTGGGATTCAACCAAGACTTCTTACCCTGGGTCTTGTCAAACTTGCCTTTGAATTTGTTGGAACCATCATCCTTTTTCCATGGCTGATCTTGTAGAGCCTGTATCGAGTCTTGAACTCATTTCCTTTTGATATTCCTTTACTCATGCGCCTCCAACGAACCAACCAAATTTTCCACTTTTAGGGTTTCAAGACTGTTGGATTCTTGAATAGATGCGATAATATAATCAAAGTGAGAGGTCAACATTCTCATTACCTTCTCAACTATTATGTTATCAATTATGGTTTCACCATAACCCTTCATGAGATGAACGAGTTTCTGAACCTTCGACACATATTCTGCAAATTTTTCATCTTCTCCCTATTAAAAACAACTCATATTATTGATGCAAGGTTTGTAACTTGACAACCTTAACTTTCTCACCTCCTTCGTAATACATCACTAGAATATCTCACGCCTCCTTCACGATTTCAGCATAAAAAATCTCGTCGAAGTTATCAGTATCGACCGCTGACCGAATGCAATAAGCATCATTGTAATATTTCTTCTTGACCTCGTTGTGGGTTTTTTCTGTTCATCCGTTACATTTGCAGCCAGCGCAGGAACGCCGTCGATAACCACTTATAGAGTTTCATGGAAGTCAAACAAGGATTGCATCTGTTTTTTCCATCAGATCCAACTCTTGCCGTCAAGTATTGGAAGAGAATTCAGAATGCCTTTATCACTAGCCAATTTCGTAGCGACTGATTCACTTGTCCTGGAAACAGGATATCTGACGTGAAATTCTTGAAAACTCGATCAAGGATAATAACCAGAAGCTCTGGATACTAATTTGTTAGTGCGTGAGACACTTTTAGTTAGGAGAGAAAGAGAGAATAATAAGAGAACTAAGGATTTGTATTATTGAAATGTACAAAATAAAGATACACACAATTACTATTTATATTCAACTATAATTGAGCTTGGACTAATACAACTTAAATTATATTTAAATATTAAATCTAATCTAATATAATATTTTAACAAATCTAATTTAATATTTCAACAAAATGAAGAATGTTATATATCGTGACTTTGATAATATTTGACTAAATTATTGTGTAACTATTCTATTGAAGTTAATATTTGGACACTTTTTTGTTTACATTGTATAGCCGTAATTTAAAAAACAAAAAAAAAAGTTTGATGTACATTATTTTTTTGTTCACCAAGGCTTTAACACCTAGTTAATTATATACATAACAATATAGTCAATTAACTTTAGTAATTGTTTTTTTTATTTACATTTAAAATTAGGGTAACTATACTTTTAAATGTGAATTGAAATAATTAATTGTTTATTTGAATTAACAACATTTATAATTTTGACTGTAAATTGAACTAATTGTTATTCTATGTTTTACAGGATTTTACAAGAAGTTGTCAGCTACTTGTCATACTTTTTATCTAAGATCATTATCGGTCCAATGATCATGGCAAACCCTCTGGTACGACTTGGAAAATAATTGCTTCAAACATTTGCCCCCGATATTTTTTGTCAATACTAATGACAACTCCAGTTAAATGGATTGAAACTATAATCGTGAATGTCTTTCCTTGTAGTATTTCAAACACTCTAATATAATTTTATAGTCAACACGCAGAAATATTTAGGATAATTTATCTTATTTCCAGTTTGTAAAACTAATGAAAACTCAAATGTAGGAAATATGAAATCTGAAATTAATAGTGAAGAGAATGTACTTTTTATTGTATTATTTTAAATCTGGGAATTGTGATTTTATAGGACACTAGTATTGTTTCACAAGGTTGCAACCCTTGATGAAAAATACTCTTCCAACAACACTTTTTGCGGAGTGTTGTAAATTTTCACCTACTGCAACACTTTAGAAGCATTGTCTATTTCTAATTGCAATCTACAAAACTTCAAAAAACGTTGTCTATTTTTAAATTCAAAATACAAACTGCCTACTGTAAGACTTCAAAAAGAGTTGCATGTTTCTGAACTAAAAAACATATTGTATTACAACCCTTCACAAGCGTTGCCTATTTCTGAATACAAAAAACAACATTCACTTGCTATTTTCTTATCATTTACGAATACCCTTATGATCATTAGTTATTATTAATTACAACAGATTTATAATTGAACCCATAATTCATTACTAAATTCATCGCAAAAGATGAGTATTCATTCATGAACCCAAAATCAATCACTAAAATCGTCCCAGAAGATAAATATTGATTGATAAACCTCAAAATTTGTCACCAAAAAATATTGTCAAAGATGAATATTCATAGTTAACCCAAGAACATGTTTTACACCGTGCATAAATGAATATTTGTATCTGAATACAAAATCTATCATTATGTTTGTCACCAAATCTGAAACTTGACATTTTAATTAATATAATAATTTAATTGTAAATAAAAAAAATGCCTCTTATCAACTATTCAATATTAGGAAGGTGAAAAAACACAAAAATTAATTTCATCCCACCCACTTAAGATATCAGGCGTCCATACATATTTAATTGTTCATATGTCCCAGCGGTAATGTGTGTGTCAGAGAAACAAAAATACCTAAGTTTGATCCTCCTTGGACGCATATTTTTGTTTTATTTTATATTTTTTAATATGATAAAATGGTCACAAATCCGGTCTTTATTTGCGTCTCAAATTCAGTCTCTAAACTCGGTCACTAAAGGTTAACAACTAGCACTTTTTTAATTGAAAAATTAAAATCACTATGTTGATCACTAAACGTTATCATGACCGAATTTTAAATTTTTCGCTCACTAAATGTGAAATTTTTAATAGTGATATATTTATATAATGATATTAAAATATAATAAATAAATAATAATTAAATATTGTTACAGTATAATAAAACTAAACAAATGTACATAAAATAAAATAAAATAAATTACATTTAATTAATTTTTTTAATAATAAATATGAAAGAGATTATTGTGGTTTATAATTATGACCAAATGGAGATGGAGTACCTTTATAATATATAAATATATGTAATTCTATTGCTATATATATTCATAAAGCTTTGCAACTTGTTACACATTAAGAATCCAAACAAAATGGTAAGCATTACAGCTTCTTATACTGTGATTCCACGAGAATCAACTCCACAAGGTTTTTTATGGCTTTCTGATTTAGATCAAGTCGCACGTTTCCGCCACACACCAACTATATACATTTACAAACCAAAACAGAACCCAGAAAATGCCATTGAAACCTTGAAAAACTCTCTCTCCAGAATTCTAGTTTACTACTATCCTATGGCTGGTAGATTGTTTTACACGGAAGGTGGTAGATTAGAATTGAATCTGAATGCAAAAGGTGCTATTTTGCTTGAAGCTGAAAGCAATAAAAGCATTCATGATTATGGTGACTTTTCACCTTCAGACTCAACCAGAGAGCTTGCTCCATTATTCGATTATAATGGAGTGATTGAAGAAATTCCATTATTTGCTGTGCAGCTGACAAGGTTCAAAAACAATGAAGGCTTTGCAATTGGAGTTTCTTTTTCGCATATCTTATCAGATGGACTTGGAGCCATTAGAATGATGAACTCATGGGCCAAAATAGCTAGAGGAGAAACACTTGAAGATAATGAGTTACCCTTTTTTGATAGAACATTACTCAAGTTCTCACACACCCCATTGGCACCGCGTTTTGAACACATGGAGTTAAAGCCTCTTCCACTCATTCTAGGAAGACAAGACGCAAATGAAGAAGGAGAGAAAAAAACTTCAGCAACATTGTTGAGACTGTCACCAGAACAAGTTGATAAGCTGAAGAAAAAAGCTAATGGAAATGGAAATGAAAATGATATTCTGGCAATGAAGAATAAAGGGTCAAGGGGTTTTAGTAGATATGAAGTAATTAGTGCACATATATGGAAAAGTGCATCTAGGGCACGTGAGCTTGAAGAGAATCAAGAGAGTGTTGTTAGATTCATTGTAGAAATCAGAAATAGAATAATTCCAAATCTTCCTGAGAATTATTTTGGGAATGCTTTGATTCAAACAGCTACAAAAGGATTGATTGGAGAAATCAGATCAAAGCCTTTGGGTTATGTAGCACAGAAGATAAGGGAAGCAGCTGAGATTGTAACAGATGAATTAATAAGGTCACAGATTGATGTTATTAGGGGATTTCAACATTTGGATGATGCAAGGGCTTTGTATTTAGGTGATGAAGGTAAGAATATTCCATTTTTGGGGAACCCTAATTTTCGTATAAATAGTTGGATGAGTATGCCTCTTTATGAAGCTGATTTTGGATGGGGAAAGCCTGCTTACTTTGGAATAGCTCGTTTGTATCCACATGATAGGGCATTCATTCTTCTCACTCCTGATGGAGATGGATCTATTCTTGTGTGTTTGCATTTTCAGATTGCACATTTGGAGCTTTTCAAAAAGTTCTTTTATGAGGACATTTGAAATTTTTTATCATGTCATTTACTTATGTCTTGTTTGTATTTTAATGTTGATTTATTTTTATTTTAATGTTTCACTATCTATTTTGCTTGTGAGTTGCATGAATTTTCCTACTCATTATTTTGTACTGCTTGATTTGATTTGCTTGTGATTTGCATGAATTTTTCTATTCATATAATTTACCTTGGTATTGTTATATTCGTTTTCTATTTTGTTCATCTCCCAATTTAATACATATTCTCTCATCATATGTAAAGTAAAAATAACAATAAGAAAAATATTTAGGTTCTTTTGGTAATTTTATAAACAAATTGAGTGATGTTTGCCTCAATTGATAGTCTAATGGAGGCAATAGATGAATTAATATTTAAATATAAAAAAAAAAAAAAGAATGATGCTGTTATAAAATAAATAAAAACATAAACGGTAGTTCTTAGAATTTAAAGTGTGTTCTTTAGTTAGTTTTCTCTTGGTTAACTAGATGACACAATTGTTTGAAAGAAAAAAATTGAGATTAGTATATGATATATTTGTTAAATTGTAATTCATATGTGTCAAAATTAGATTTGATTTTGTTTTAGATTTAAATAGATTTGAATTTAAGTCTAGAATAGATTTGATTAGATTTGATTTAGTAAAAAGATATTTTGGGCTTGGGTTTTAGCTTAGGGAGCAAGCTAACCTAATTCTATAAATAGAGGGAGTAATCCCTATTTTGTAATCAAGTAATTCACAGTATTTTGCAGTTGCAAAGTGAATAATAAAGTTTCCACAGTTTGTGGGCAGAGAGAAACTCTGCAGAAATATCTCTATTGTCTTTTCTTTGTTTGTCTCATAACTAATCATCAAGTGGTGGTCGAAATTCATCATTGAGTATTGGTGAATTTCCAACATTTGGTATCAAGAGCTTGTGTTTCGATTAAAGGGAAGTGTCAATCAAGAACGATTGAAGAATTCACGATGACAAGTTATGGGAATGCAAACTATCCAGCAACGCTGCCAATTCTGAAAGTTGACAACTATGAGAATTGGTACAAACAGATGAAAGTCCTATTAAGGTGTCAAGGCCTTTGGGACCTTGTAAAAGATGGAGTCGAAGCGCTTGGCGAAAACGCTTCAGAAGAAGAAAAGAAGAAATATACAGAATCTAAGAAGCAGAGTTATAAAACATTATTTATAATTCATCAATGTGTCAACCCAGACAATTTCAAAAAGATTAGTGATTCAGAATCTGCAAAAGAAGCTTGGGAGATCCTTGAGAAGTCTTTTGGAGGCGCTGAGAAGGTGAAAGAAGTGAGGTTACAAACTCACAAAAGGACCTATGAACTGCTTCAGATGGAAGACAGTGAAAACATATCTGATTTCTTCACTAGAGTTACAAAACTAGTGAATCAAATCAAGGCATGTGGAGAAACATTAACAACAAGAGCTGTTGTTTCGAAGATCTTGAGATCTTTAGCTCCTAAGTTCGACCACATAGTGGTGGTGATCGAAGAGGGGAAAGACTTGTCGAAATTGACAAAGGAAGAGCTTCAAGGGACGCTCGAATCTCATGAACAAAGAATGAACGAAAGAGCTGCAGGAAAATCGAAGAGTGATGTGGCCTTGCAGGCACATTCAGCAAAAGAGACCAAAGGCAAAGGAAAGTATTTCGACAGAAGTAGAGGTGGCTACAACAAATAGAATGGTAGAGGAAACCAAATCGAAGGAGACGTGTCGAATCAAAGAAGACCACACCAAGGCAATCAAAGAGGTAGTGCTGCAAACAGAGGAAGAGGTGGTGGTCGAAAACCTGATAAAAGTCACATTCAATGTTACAATTGTCAAAAATATGGACACTATTCGAGTGATTGTCCAGAAAAACGAAAGAATCAAGAAAGTGATGCAAAGCTTGCAAAACATGAAGAAGAAGAAGAAGAAGAGATGATGATGATGGTCACAACAAGAGATGAAGATAGATTCAAGGACCAATGGTACTTGGATTCAGGATGTTCATCACATATGTCTGGAAGGAAAGACTGGTTCGTCAATATAAAACCCTCAACGAAAAATATGGTAAAATTTGCAAATGACAACACCCTAGCAACTGAAGGTATTGGTGATGTTATGATCATGAGGAAAGATGGCAAGAAGTCAGTAATTTCAAATGTATTGTACATACCAGGCATGAAGAGTAATTTGCTCAGTATAGGGCAGTTGGTCGAAAAGAATTATAAAGTGTCAATCGAAGATAAGTTGATGAGAGTCGTTGATGCAAATGGGAGATTAATCTTGAAGGCTCCTATGTCTCATAATCGAACCTTCAAGATTGAACTAAATGTGATGGAGCACAAGTGCCTTTCGACTGCAGCTAGCAGAGATGAATGGATATGGCATTATAGACTAGGTCATCTCAACTTCAGAGACATCAGAGATTTGAAGAGAAGAAATATGGTTTCAGGATTGCCTGAAATTGACATTCCAAACGAAGTATGTGAAGAATGTGTGCAGGCGAAGCAACACAAGAATAGCTTCAGCAAGGATGCAGGAAGCAGATCGAAGGCTAGTCTTGAAGTCATATACTCTGATATATGTGGACCAATCCAGGTGGATTCAATGGGAGGTAATAAATACTTTGTTACATTCATAGATGATTTCAGTCGAAAGCTATGGACTTACCTGATCAACAAGAAAAGTGAAGTGATCGAAGTATTTACCAAGTTTAAGTCCATGGTCGAAAGACAAAGTGGTCGAAAGCTCAAAGTTTTGAGAACTGATGGTGGTGGAGAATATGTGTCGAAAGACTTCGACAGATTATGTGAAAAGGAAGGGATTGTGCATGAGGTGGTGCCACCCTATACTCCACAGCAAAATGGAATTGTAGAAAAGAAAAATCGAACCATCATGAATATGGTGAGAAGTATGTTGAAAGGCAAGAATTTACCTAGAGTTCTGGGGTGAAGCTGTTTCGACTGCAACCTATATTTTGAACAGATGTCCTACAAAGAAGCTAGAAGGAATTACTCCAGAAGAATGTTGGTCTGGTGTGAAGCCTAACTTAAGTCATCTGAAAGTATTTGGATCTATTGCACATAGACATGTGCCAGATCAGTTGAGAAGAAAACTTGATGACAAGTCAAGTCAAATGATCCTAGTTGGATATCATTCGACAGGAGGCTACAAGTTGTTCGATCCAGAGAACAAGAAGATTGTGATTAGCAGGGACGTGATCATAGATGAGTTTAAAGAATGGGATTGGACTGCAAATGTCAAGAAAGATTCAGTGGGAATCTTATTCGAAGATCCAGAAACTCAAGTTGAAAGAGAAGTTCGACAAGAGGAACCAGTAGATATACCAAGTACAAGCAGGCCTCAAAGAACAAGACGCATGCATGCAAGATTGCAAGATTGTGTGATTACATCAGATGATGTAATAAATGATGAAGGTGAGCTGGTACATTATGCTTTCTATGCAGATGTCGAACCTGTTAATGCAGCTGAAGCATTAAAGGATTCGAAGTGGGTGAAAGCAATGAACGAAGAAGTAAAGTCTATCGAAGACAACAACACTTGTTCACTTGTTGAATTGCCCCAAGGCAAGAAGGCAATTGATGTCAAGTGGGTATACAAAGTGAAGACGAATTCGAAAGGTGAAGTAACTCAACACAAAGCAAGACTTGTGGCGAAAGGATTTCTACAGAAAGAAGGAATAGACTTCAACGAAGTTTTTGCACCTGTTGCTAGGATCGAAACAATCAGGCTGGTTGTTGGTCTAGCAGAAATCAACAGTTGGCACATATGTCAGATGGACGTGAAGTGTGCATTCCTAAATGGACCCTTAGATGAAGAAGTCTATGTTAAACAACCAGTTGGGTTTGTAAAACATGACGAAGAAAGAAAGGTGTACAGGCTACATAAAGCCCTGTATGGATTGAAACAAGCTCCAAGGGCTTGGAATAAGAAAATTGATAGTTTTCTAAGGGAGAAGGAATTTGTGAAGTGCATAACTGAACATGGAGTATATGTAAGAAGAAGCAAGATTAAATTGCTTATACTATGTCTCTATGTAGATGATTTGTTGATAACAGGTAGCTGCAAGAGTGAGATCGAAGACTTCAAAGGTGATCTCAGCAAGGAATTCAAAATGTTTGATTTGGGTGTGATTTCATATTTCCTTGGTATCGAATTCTACAAGAGCAGTAGAGGTTTGATGATGCATCAAAGAAGATATGCAGGAGAAATTCTCAAGAGGTTTTAGATGGAAGAATGCAACTCAACTTCGACACCTGCAGAACCAAGACTGCAACTGTCGAAAGATGCATATGAAGATGATGTTGATCCAACCCAATACAGAAGACTTATTGGATCATTAAGATATCTTTGTCATACAAGGCCTGACTTAGCATACAGTGTAGGTATGGTAAGTAGATTCATGCAGAAGCCAAAGGTATCACATCTAGCAGCAGTGAAGAGGATACTAAGGTATCTCAAAGGAACTTTCGATTATGGCATTTTGTTTCCTGCAGTTGATAAAGGAAAAGAATGCAAGTTAGTGGGATACACTGATTCGAGTTGGTGTAGTGATGTTGAAGATCGAAAGTCAACAGCAGGATATGTGTTTATGCTAGGTGGTGCACCAATTGCTTGGAATTCAAGAAAGGAACCAGTAGTGGCATTATCATCATGTGAAGCAGAATACATAGCTGCTTCTCTTTGTGCATGTCAAGCAACTTGGATGATGAGCTTGGTCGAAGAGATAACATGGAAAAATCATGGAGCAATTACCATGAAGATAGACAGCATGTCAGCTATTAATCTGGCGAAGAACCCAATAGCACATGGTCGAAGTAAGCACATCGAAATGAGGTTCCTGTTGGCTCCTAAATTCGACACCCTTGTTTTTATTAATATAAGCCATTAAAGCTGAAGAATGGTTTCGACCAGCTGGTTCTGTCGAAATGCTCATCAGAAGATGGCAATGTACTTAGAGAATTTCTTCCAAGGAAGAATCTTGTTGCCTTCGA